TCAGAAGGAAAAATTTTGGATAACTTGAATGAAATTTGTTCAAATTGAAAAATAAATGGATGAAAAATATGATGTGTAAGGCAATAGAAAATTAAGAAAAGCCAATGATTGAAGATTTGTTGAACAATTGAATTGATGAAATGAGCCAAGAAAATAAATGTGAAATAATTGTAAGCCAATAGATGTGTAAAATTTGAATGATTGAAACCATTGTAAAATTGATTGAAATTGTTGACAATTTTGATGAGCGCACATTGACCAAATCGGAAGTGGACGCAGTGCGAAAAGATGAATATGTAATTGCCAAAAGATTAGCAATAGTAGCAATGATAACGATGAGATTATTCTTGAAAATAAATAATAATAAAAATGTTCGTTGCTGATGAGCAATTAATAATGATGCTACTGGCGAACACGAAAATATGAATTTGAAAATGTAATTTTTGAAACGAATGTTGATTCTATTTTCTTCACCGGGTGTAATGATACGAAATTGAATGACCGCAAAAGATTTACCATTGTTGAAAATTAAAAAGATTCGACTTATACCTCTACGGATGCGGAAAATGATTGATGTTTTTGTTGTTGCTGGCCATAAAGAAAAATAAAAACTTGAAAAGAAAAATTTATCCGGTGGTAATTTCTTGATGATGGCAAAAATGCTGTAACGATGAGCAGAAAAATTTTGATTTGTCATTTGAAACGACCGAAAAAGTGATGATGAAATTTCAATAAAAGAAAAGCGACTGGCGCTGCTGCTGCTAATTGCAGTTGTTGATGATGCTGCTACGATCGATGGGAGTGGCGACGATGAAAATTGTTGTTGACGATGATGATGATGAGTTGAATGAAACGCGCACTTTACCAGACAAGCACGTGTTTTGTGTTGTTTGTGACGAAAGTTACACCAATTACCATCGGGTCGGAAAAGATTTGCATTGTGACCACAGCAAGCAGAAAGTAAAATTGATGATGAACGACAAAAATGATTAAGATTGCTACCGGGAAATGAAAAATTAAGATTGACCACGGGTAGGCTTAGACTGATACCGGGAGATTTGACAATTGCTTGTTTCACCGGGTTTAATTCAGGTTTATGATCGGCTGCGATCGATAGTTGCTGCTGTTGTTGCGATGGGTTTAGACAAAGATTATGATGAGGTGTACGTTGTTGATTGATTTCATCGTTTTGATTGGGCGGACCAATGATGCGATCGTGCAAATTATGATGATGTTGATGATTGATGGCGAGCAGCTGTTTAACGTCCGGAATAAATTGTTGTTTGATTGAGCCATGAGCGGGTGTTGCTAACCCTCGAACATCCAGAGGAACATCACCTTGTTGGTGGGAATCCTGATTATCATCACCGTGTTGGTGAAATTGATGTTGCTCGACACCGTGTTGGTGGAGATGTTGATGCTGATCAACGCCTGGATGTTGAAAATTGAGCGGTTGATGATCATGAGCCGGTTGATTATGCTGCTGGACGGGTATTGGTAATTGTTGTTGGACGTTCATCGGTGTCTGTTGTTGTTCGAGCACCGGTAATTGATGATGATGATTGAAAACCGGCAGCTGTTGATGATGATCGGGCATCGGATGTGTATGATGTTGTTGGCTATGTACCGGCGGCTGTTGCTGATTTGACATCGGCTGTGGATGTTTTTCGCACACCGGGTTTGAATGTTGACCGTAAATCGGGTAAGGGATGTCGTCGAGTTGATCATGGCCTTTACCACCAGCCAATTGCAACGTTAATTTTTCGACGATGATTTGTAAATTCTCGACTCGTTTAATGAGGAGAGCGACATTTAGATTTGCCATAGCCAAATGATGATAATTATGATGATAATAATAATGATGATGCCGATATTGATGATTTTTTTCCGCCAATTTCTGATGTGACGAAAAAAACAAAGTTTTTTTTCCGCGTGTTCAAAATCAAACAAGGGTCACCAAATGTTATAATGTATGTTGTGTGGTGATCATCATCTCTCCTTTTTTTATTACTTGTATTTACAAATGCTTATATACAAAAACTAGACAGTGACATGATTCACTTTCAAAGTATGTTACACAATCAAAATATTTTTGTTGTTGTTGTTGTTGTTAAACTTTAGTTGTTTCACGAATGGTTTGCTTTTGCTTTTGATTCGATATTCATCATTTTGTTCTGGTCAAGCAAAAAAACAAAATTGACAATGGAAATTTGTAAAAATTTAAATAAATTATTATTGACAATTACCGAACAGGATGCTAAATTAAATTTAATGAAAAAACAGCTAGAAAATCGAAAGCTTGGTGAAAAAATAAACAAAAACAATCAAAATGAAGAACCTTTGCGAAAAGTAACGATTAAAAAACAACAAATTGAAAATAAACAACAACATGAAAAAAAGGTAATTATTAAAAAACGAAACAATATTCGACAAATTCGTCATTCATTCCGGTCATCAAGATCATCATCATTATTATCATCATCAATATCATCATCAAAAAGAACAACAACAACAAAAACAACAACGAAAACAACAAAAACTACAAGAAAAAGTATTTGAAATTTATTTGAAAAAATATTATAATATAATTAAGAAATTAGTTTTTTATTTTTAGGTAAACGAATAAATGATTCATCACAATCATCATCATCATCAACATCATCATCACCACCATCAGTACGAATAATTATGACAAGATCAAGAGCAAGACAGCTACAACAACAACAACAACAAC